GTCTAACAAAATATATATATATATATATATATAAAAGATAAATGCTATGAAGGCCAACACTCATGAAATATAAGAACAAATAGATTATATCTGTGAGGCACCTGTGATGAAAGGGTAGCACAGTAGCTGGGGTCCTAGCTTTATCACTTCAAGTATACCTTTGAACAAGATGATACAGGGAAAGGGAAGAGGAACTGACATTTCTTGATTAGCTACTATGTGTCCAGCACTATGATTGTTATTTATTATATATTATTTAATATTCATAGATCATACCACCTCCCAGCCCCTACTTCAAAAAACAAAACAAAACAAACTGTTCTGTACTTAAGAACATTTTCTTTTTTTGGAAAGTAAAGATATGAGCATTTAACTAGGAATAAAGTAATAATGTTAGGCAGGAAAAAATAATAATTCTTAGCAGTCAAACATAGTGAGGCTAAAGATGATAGATGACACATTATCAAAGGAAAATGTTGACTTGTGAGGAAAAATGATTAATCAGGTATTAGAAGAGACAACTTATAAAGGTAATTGTGGCACTGGAATGAATAAGCCTTTTTTTGATAAGAATATTTTGTTTGCTGGGTCAGTTTTTCTAACTTCACATATATCCTTGACAGCCACCCTAATGCAAAATAGATAGGGGTCAAAGTAACAAGAAGGCTTATAATTTCCCAGTAGAAGACAAAAATATAACAATAGTTCTGCTTTCCCTCATTGTCAAAATCCTTCCTTTAGATCTCAGAATCCTTCAGTTGGCTACAATGATTTGTTGACTTTATCAATGTAGTGTAATTTGAAACTCCTTGCAAAATGAATCAATCTATTAAAAAAAAAGTCTTCATTATGTGGTTACTTCCCAACTATTTTTATAGCAGTATATCTATAGACATTTAAAAGACAGATATCTATAAAAAATTGAAATATAATTTTAATTTTTTACCTTTATTAAACTATTCTACATCTGTGTTTTTACCTTGTCACTTTAATGCCAGTATATTTAAGATGACCAAAATATATATTATCTACATTTTTTTTTTTTCCTAGAGAATTCATTTTCCAATAGGATGCCAAAGTGGGTGTTCTTCCATAGACATGGCCTAATAATGGGTGCAAAACTAAAAGACAGAGCTTCTGGGTTGGTGAACACATTGCGGTGCTGTGGGGTTGATGTGCCCATAGAGGGCATGGAACTCCAGGCACCCCTACCTCCTTATACCTTGCTCTATGCATTTGTTCCATGTGGCTGTTCCTGAGTTGTGTTCTTTTGACAAACTAGTAAACTGGATATGACCTTGGATGTTGACACGGCTAATAAACTGCTCCTCATTTCTGATGACCTGAAGAATGCCCAATGTGGAAGTATCGAACAAAACCTGAAAGCATGCTGAAAGATTCAACTACTGAGTTTGTGTCCTGGGCTCATCTTGGTTCACCTCTGGCCACCACTACTGCAAGGTGGGGGGTAAGAACATGCAAACAATGGGATCTGGGCATTTGTAAAAAAGCTCTTTGGCAAGAAGAAAAGACACAACTGTTTGCAGAACTTGCACTTTAAGTAGGAGAAAGAGGCTACTTCACCAACACAATGCCTGAGACTACCCTCTTCGTGGAACCCCAAATTCACAAAGTAGAGATTTTCTGGTTATGGACATTGGAAACATTTCCCTTTTCAATATGGTTAATGGATTCCATATCTTTACATTCACCAAAACTTCTGCTTCAGAACTACTGCACCAATTCTATTTGCCATCAAATCCAAATCATGGTGATTAGGGAACCCTGAGTATATGTCCTATGATGCAACCAGGTTCAGTAATTCCTCCAATATATGCTGAGGAAGACCAGTAAAACTCTAACCACACACACACACACACACAATTTGGAAAAAATGATATGTATTTATGGTAAAGAATATTTTGCTATGTTAACACATGAAAAATGTATGGGAACTTTTATAGATAATAAATATAGATTTTAATAATCTAACACTAGGAAATATACTACACGTTGAATACACTGATACAGAAGTTTGCTTTGGGGTTTGGGAGTTGACTTCTGCATTTGTTTCTCTTGAACTTTCAGATCAAGTGAGAGCATTTTTAATTTGTTCTAAGGACCTCCTACTGTATTAATTTTAATTCAAGAACAGTATTTTGTTACATCTAAGAACTGTGTGATTCATTAAGTCATTAAAATGAATACTTAACCTATTATAAACCTATAAATAAATTTTATGTATATAAGAATGACAAATTAATATATTCCTGCAAAATTTTCTGAAAAACAATATAAAAGACTAGAATTCTCAGTATAGTTTTTCTACTGGTTAGTTTGCCTTTAGCATTTCAATTTCTACCTACAAATTGGTTTAAGGATACTCATTCTTAACTCACAAGTTTGCTAGGATACATTCTGACAACAGATAACATCTTTTGGTAGTAAAAGTGTTTGTAAATGTTTGGCATTCTTGTTATTAGTAATACAATGTTTCTGTTTTTTTAGTAATATAATTTTGTTATTGACTGCCATATAATATTGTAGATTTAACATTGTGTGAAGATCAAAGGATATTCTAATTTTATTATGCGCTTGGTGAAAAAGAACATATTGCTTGGTATTGCCTGTAGTTTTTCAGAGGAAGTCTATATACTATAAACTAATTATAAACTTCAATATCAGAAATCGGGTAATATAGGAATGTAGGCATGATTTTCTTTACCATAGCAATTGCGGTAAATTGATTCCCAAACAAATAGAAGACTATTGTTGTGTTGTGATCAGGCGAAGTTGGCCTAATAAGGCCCAAACTATGTATGTTAGGCTGATTCCAGTCTTGAATTGCATGAAATGACTATATTTCTCCATTACTCTGCTTGAAAAACATAATTCAAATGTTGTAGGAATGACACTCCACAGTGATTCCCCATAGTAAAGAAAATAGTCAGCTTATTTCTAAATAGAAATCCCCAACTGCCACATGACATCAATCATCTTGCATATAATATGACTTCCACTGAGTTGAAATGTTTTGAAGGTCAGGTCTTTGGATGAAGTTTAGTGGGATATACAGCAGAAATGCTTAAATCCAGGGCACTGTTTTGGCGCTGGCAGAAATAAGTTCTCTTCAAATAACAGAGAGGAAGAAAAGTAAGGATTTTAAGCTCAAAGCCTTAACTAAGACCATTTTCTAAGGTTTCCGCCTGTATCTCATTGAAAAGTTGGATAAAGAAATGGGGGTGGGGTCGAATCACACTGATCTACTTTCATAGAGGGTGCATGCACAATTTATTTGGCCTACATTTAAAAAATTTAGGAGATGCCACGTTAGACAAAAACCCAGACTTTTGGCTTCTTTTAAGAAATTGGAACCTCTGGGCACAGTGGGTCTGTATTCATATGTAGAAAAGTAGGCTGAAGCTGAGAATCGGCGGCTCTCTTTACAGTTTGCCATTCTTAACCACTGCTGAACTTCATACACCCATATTTACTTTGCCTGCCTCACCCTGGGGGTAGGAGAATCCTGCAGTTTATGAAATTGATACAACGGGGCTGTTTGTTTCTCTTTGTTAAAGGACGGGGGGAGGGACTCCAATGGCTGCTTTTGCTTCCAGACAGTCCTAAATTTGCCCGTTTTCAACGCTCTGACCCTCATTTACTTTTCCCCGAATGGTCAAAAGCACGGAACTAAGAATCAAAGTATGGTTCCCAGCTACCACGAGCCAGCTGTGACCTTGGGCGACTCCGTTAAACTCTCTTAGCCAAAGGTGATGATCTGTAAAACGGCCTTAACACCTGTTCTAAATACTTCACAGAGCTGTTGCATAGCACACATTAGATTTTAAAAGTACTCCTTAGTAATTTACAAACCGCAAAACGCTTCCCAGCACAGGCGTCTACTACAGAGTGCGACGACACTGTGAAACCTACTCTAGTTCTGTGCTGCTCCCACCTCCCACGCTCAGTGGCCGAGCGGAAGAAGATTCTCAGGGGAGAAGGTCTGGAAAGCTGGCTAAAAAACGAAGTGAGAAAGAAGTCCCTTAGCCGGGGTAAAGTTGTTGGCGGCATTTCTAAGTCCCCCCAGAGTGACATACCGACTTCCTGCAAAGATGACAGACCCGGCCGCGTGGCCAGCGCGGGAACCGGTTCCCATGCCCCGTCAATGCTCGAAGCCGGGCCCTACAGGCCTGGCCAGAACCCTCCCAACGCGACCCCGGACCCGGGACCCCGAACTTCGCCCTTGTCCCCAACCCCCATAATCACTCCCCGTTCACCCTCCACGTGACAAGAGCCGGAACCGTCACTTCCGGCGGTGCAGGCGGCGCGCCTGCGCAGGGCGGCCGGCCTCAGTGAGCGGTTGGCAGTAGCGCGGCGGCGCCAACGGCCTCGAGTGGCAGACGGCGCGGTGGGCGGCGGTCCCGAGTCGCGTGCGGCCGGAGAGGCTCA